CTCACTCACCCCCCCCCCCTTACATTTAGATTCTGTTCTTTTTTCTTAATAATCACCATATCTCTCTTTATTTTACTAATCCTTCCCCTCCCCTACTCCCCCCCCCCCTCTCCCTAAAAAAAAAGAGAAAATTATCGATTCTTTTCCTTTTTCAAAGTTTTTCAAAACCAATTTCTCTCTTTCTAACTAATCACCCAAAATCTCTATTTCTTATTGATACAATGCAAACAAAAATCGGAATATTGCTCTAGAATTAAGCTGTGGGTAAGTTTTGAATCTTGTTTTCTTTCTTTCTAAAATATTTATTGTATGTGACTTGTATATGATACATCAATATCCAAAACAATACTCTATACAATACTCAATACAATTATAACACAATTATATTAGATTTTTAGTGTAGAGTTGTGATTGAAACTTGAAGAAGATGAAGATCATAACTGTATCATAATTTTTCAGAAATGTATCGCGATTGTATTATAATTGTATGTATATCTTACTTGTTACAGGAATTGTATTAAAAATGTATGATAATTGTATATTCATTATATATTATTACGAGAAGTTGTGAGTTCGTGACGAATTTCACAGCTATATATGATAATTGTATATTAATTTATTAGTATTGTTGTATGTGTTATTTTGGGTATTAATGTACCAGATACAATTTAGATACAATTGTGATTCAAGTATGATACAATTATGTTTTAAGCATTGATGTATCTGATACAATTCAAATACAATTATGATACACTTATCATACAATTATCGTACAATTCATGAATATTTCTTCATTTTTAGTGTTGTCCAGTCTCCCAGCAAAAGAACGATACAATGGCGGGAAGAGAGAGGATGAAGATTCTGGGCATAGATTAAGGGATTTTGATGTGTGTGTGTGTGTGTGTGTGTGTGTGTGTGTGAGAGAGAGAGAGAGAGAGAGAGAGAGAGAGAGAGAGAGAGAGAGAGAGAGAGAGAGAGAGAGAGGATGCAATTGAATCCCTTAATTGAAGACACTTATAATGGGGTGGGAGCCTTTTAAGTAACATTGTATACAATTTGTAAGAAAAATTTAGATACTTATTAAAAACTATAAAACATAGGTAAATAAATTTCTAATAGAGTATAGTTAGGTAAGAATCCCAAAAAAAAGAGAAATGAATCTTACAAAATAATGAGGGCCGACGTATCTGTTGGTCAAGAAGTGGCCAGATTCAAATATTAACAGTCTGGTGCAACTCCTTTTTTCCTGCATGGTAAATAAGAAGTTGGCCCACTATGAATTTAAATTAGGCCAAATACATATACAGCCCATCCAACTTGACACCATTTTTTATTTTGGCACTTTATCTCTATCTTGTTTTATTTTAGCCCTCCAACTCTATTTTACATGTTCCATTTTGGCCCTCCAACTCTATTTCTTATGTTCCACTTTAACACAAAAGCTAAAACCAGTGCAAAAAAATATAGCGCGTGTGTATACACAAATCTGAGGTGTAATAAATATCCAATTAAATGTTGCCACCTGGTTTTTTCATCCATGTCAAACGGGTCAATACTAAAATGCCTTAACCGACCATATTTTTTGTGGGTTTATTTCATCTAAACCGGCCAAGTATGAAATCGGAAGATGAAAGCTTTGGAACTTAGAGAATGAAGATGGGGCAACAATGGATGAAAAAATACGGTCGTGTTCAGGTATTCTAGTATTGACCCGTTTTACATGGATGAAAAAATCAGGTGGCAACATTTAATTGGATATTTCTTATACCTCAGATTTGTGTATATACACGCACTATATTTTTTGCACTGATTTCAGCTTTTGTGTTAAAGCGGAACATAAGAAATAGAGTTGGAGGGCCAAAAAATGGAACAAATAAAATATAGTTGGAGGGCCAAAATGGAACAAGGTAGAAATAGAAAATAAAAAATGGTGCCAAGTTAAATGGGCTATATATATATTTGGCCTTTAAATTATGTAAATTACAATAGTAATTTCTTTCATAACAGTAGCGCAATTTTATCTATTATTGAAACTCTCCTGTATTATCTGTCAGATTGTTTCTTTATTTATTATGAGAGTTATTTTTAATATCCTTTTAGGCCACGTGGCTTTTGTTTTCGGGACGGGTAGTGGTTTCTTGAAATGAACCGGATTAAAGGAAGGAAAAATGATGCTGTATAATCGTACAAAATAATAACCGAAAAATAATTATATTTTTTGTATATATATACATTATATATGTTATATACAAAAATTATACAAGTTTTATATACTTTTTTGGTTATCGGATGTAAATAGTTTCTGGCGCAGGCTAAAAGTGATAATACCTCTTAGAAGAAATGGAATGGGTCAATTTAATTTGGTGCAGCCACGTGGCATTCCGTCTAAAATAAGGATATATTTGTTTTATACTATAATAATAGGGTCCGAAATGACCAAATAATATATTTAAGGGTATATTTAAATTATTTTTGATAGTATGTTGATATATTTGACCCTTTTCCGAAGTTCAAATATGTACAAGTTAAACTGGATGAAGTACACAAATAGCCCTAGATATGGATTATCTTGATTTTTTTTTTTTCCGCTTGCCCCATGACCAAAATTTTAAATTTAACGAGTGTTGTTTTTCGCTTGTCTCATGAACAGCACTTTTAACATTTGATCCTGAAGTTTTCGACATGAAATAAGTGGAGGTCAAAAATTGAAAATCACCCCAAAAAATATCATATTTCTGCAATTTTTCGAGTTAAACTCATACTCCATAATCCATATTATACCTTATGTACTTTTGGGTCCAGTTACTCGTTCTTTTACCGAAGACGACATCGTTTTACTGAACCTCTTGACTCTCGTACCGATGGTCTAAAAGCAGAGCAGAAACAACAGCTGGATGCCTGCAAGAAAAGCAACTTCTTTCTCTGGCTTTGCATTGTACCCCATTTGATTGCTGTCTGTGTCTGTTTTGGTCTTTGTGTTACACAGTACTAAAAGATTAATTACCATGCCCCAAACAAGTTCTCTTTCCTTTCACTATTTTTTCCTCTATAATCCACTAACCATGCACTTTGGTACTACCATTCAAAGCACAGATTCCAAAAACTGCTACAAGACAATAAGCCAAAGGACAATAAACTGTGAGACTCGTACCTCTACAATAGTACCTTTGCTTTACACCCCACTTCTTTTTTTTGGCCTCTCCAGCTTTTTCTATTCAAAACTCACAAGATTTCAGCTAATTCCAACATCATAACCAACCCCATTTCCTTCATTCTGCATTTCCTCTCTAGAAAATGTTTAAACTCTGGTGTTTTTTCCTTCTTTATTTTGCTTTAAATGGTATGTAAATGATCCAAAATCTTGTCTTTACATTGTTTATTTGTTTGTTTCTTTATGTATTTTTCTTCTTTGACTTCAAGTTCTAAGTTTCTATTAATTAATTGCAGCTGCAGTTGGTCTAAGTGACTCAAATCTTGTGCAACTACAGAGTTTTCCAAACACTGGCATTTCTATTGCAGTTTCTTTGCCTATTGAAGACCTTAAAAATGTCTACAACAGTGTTCTTGAAGCTGAAAAGTGGCTAAGGACTAATGTTCTAGCTCATTATCCAGCTACCAACATCACTACTATTCTTGTTGGTCACACTCTTATGTGCAATGAAGAACAAGAAAACAAAGTGATTTTTATCTTGCCTTCAATCAAGAACATTTACTACTCTCTTACAAGGTGGGGTTTGCATACTGAAATCAAAGTCTCTACTTCTTTTTCTTCCAACTGTTTGGACCAAGATTCTGAAAAACATATTAAACCTCTCCTTCACTTCTTTCAACAAGTTAATGCACCCTATGTAGTGAGCTCAACAAGAGATTTGGATGAAAAGATTGAAACTTTGCTGAATAGTCATTTAGAGTCTATTAAAAAGGTAGCAAATTTTAGCCTAAACAAGATTTTCTTGACAAGTGAGAACCTAAAACAAACAAGACCCTTAAGTAGAAAGCTCTCAGTTCTTGACTCAAAATACACTATTCCTAAAAGGTCAACCCCATTAGCCCCAAATCATGTTTTTTCATCTCCAGCATTTGCTGCTAACAGCCCACTTCCTCCATTGATAGGAACCATTTCACCACCACCATTATCTCTTCCTTTTGCTCCTGAAATGCCTCCAATTTTCAATCCTATAAGCCCTTTTAATGGACCCCACTTGCCACCTTGTATTCCATCTCATGGTGGTGGGGCCCATGAAGCAGCTCCACCACCAACAACAGGGGTGCATAGTAGTGGATTATGGTGTGTAGCTAAGCCAAGTGTTCCACCTGAGACTTTGCAAGAAGCTTTAGACTATGCTTGTGGTGAAGGAGGTGCTGATTGTGAGGCTATTAGTCCAACTGGAAACTGTTATTCCCCTGATACTGTTGTGGCTCATGCTTCTTATGCTTTCAATAGTTATTGGCAGAGAACTAAAAACAATGGTGGAAGTTGTGGATTTGGTGGAACAGCTATGCTTATCAACTCTGACCCAAGTAAGCCCTTCTTCAGTTTATCCCTAGTTTGAAAATTTGTTGGGAGTTGTTTGGTTCAAATGCTAGTTATATTAGTATCTCCACTGTTACTTGAGCCGAAGGTCTATCGGAAACAACCTTTTTATTTCTATAAGGTAATGGTAAGATCTGCCTTCACACTATCCTCTCCGGATCCCGTTTATGAGATTAAACTGGGTTTGTTGTTGTTGGTGCTAGTTATATTAGTATAAAAATGCAATGAAGTGAGTAGTAATTGGAAAAAAAAAAGGCAATCCCGTGAACTATTTGGGTTGGAATTAGCTATTTTAAGAACATTTTTGTTATTAAATATATTATCTTTGTATTGCTAATAATTAAAGATTTATGATTTATATAGCTGTATTTCTCCGAGTAAGAATCAATGAGAAAATGAATGAACATTTTTGGTACTATATTATTGCAGGTTATCTCCACTGTCGATTCATTCTTGCATGATAAGATGAATTGAAACTTGAGATGCAAATTGCTTGGAATGAAGCTGCTGCCACGAAGAGAAAAGGGGTCAAAGGTTAAATGTTGTTTTTGGTGTTAGCTCTAGTATTGCTTTGTAGGAATTAGGATTTTGCTTTATGATATATCTCAAACTGGGAAGTTAGGAATTTAGATGAGCCAATGAAAAAACAAACTCTTTGTTTTGTGACTTTCCATTTTCATATAGCACTCATACTAAGCCTAATCTTTAGTAGTTATAGTTTGATATAAACTAGACATCATGTGCTAATTACATAACAAGTGAAAAAGTTGACATATCAATGAAAACATGCGACAGTTTCCTTTTGTCTAGGACCAAAATCAAAGCCCATGGTCCAAGACTCCAAATCAAGGACATTATTTTCTGATTTAAATACTCTTTTCTTTTTCAACTCCACCATATACTCTCCAAACGCCTAGTAGATAATAATTTTTTAACTTTAACTTCTATTACTGTTTTTATTTTTTCGACTTCAACCAAATATTATCTTTCGGAAAAAAAAGCAAAAGTGATTCCCGTTGTAGTGGCGAGCGAAATGAGAGCAACCTAAACCGAAAAAACGGGGTTATGAGAGAGCAATACAAGCATCGTGTTGCTAGGCGAAGTAGCTCGAATGCTACACCTTAGATGGTGAAAAGTCCAGTAGCCGAAAGCATCACTAGCTTATGCTTTGTCCCGAGTAGCATGGGACTTGAAATCCCCTATGAATCAGCAAGGACCACCTTGTAAAGCTAAATACTCCTGGGTGATTGATAGCAAAGTAGTACCACGCCTCGAATGTGCTCTATTGGTTTATGCTAGAGAGGTAATGGTTTCGGTGAACCTTTATGGCTTATTGGAACTGTGACTAACACAAAACTTGTGATAAGCCAACAATTGATTGGCTTCGGTGAACCTTTATGGCTTATTAGTTTTGCTTCTTGATAGATCAAACTTGCAGTACCAAACTTGGTAAATAAAAGGAGGTTACAAAAGATGGGTGGAGACCTCAGTATGCTGAATTTTTAGCAGCATCATGTAGATGCCTTGTGCGTGCAATTGCAGGAGCTCAGCAAGTTCTTTGTTATCAAATATCATCTAATGGACTTTAGTGTTTAACCAGATGCCTTCAATTCAACCACTTTTCTTCTTTATGCATGGATTGGTTTCTTTAATTTTCTCGACTGTAAAAATTGTGGTTACCAGTGAATACAATATAAGGTTAGAAATCTAAATTCGTTCTTATGTTTCTTTACCATTCAGGTTTTGTTTTTTCTCTCTCTCCTGTTCCCGTGGAGGTTGAGGTCTGAAAATTTTCAACTTAATAGTTCAAACTCTATATTGGACAATATCTAAGCATAATGCCACGAACTTGCATAACTTCGACCCCAAGAAGCTAGTTCATGAGATGAAAGATTGCAAACGCCTTATAAGTAGTACGAGTTTTACTTTCATGTATGATTTAAGAATAAGACTAAGCATTACACCCTCACCCATGCAAACCGGCAAATCTCTCATTGGCATCGGGCCGCCCAACTCGACTGTCACACTAGCTTGAAAGCAGGCAAGGTAGGCTCTGATACCACTCTGTCACAAACCTGCCAAATTTTGACCCCAAACATTAACTCATGAGTTGAAAGATTGTAGATTGCTTGCTTATAGGATTGCATGGCCTCCCTTGTCCGATCTGGGACTAGGCGTTACAATAAGCTGATGAAAGTACTACGATTGTACAAAACTAGATAGAGACATGGGTAATGGCTGAAGACAGATGTAGACATACTTGTATCATCTATGCTATTAAAAAGCACATAGCAGTTATTGCTTCGTAAGAAGCTCAAAACTCTATGTGAGAAGCAATCAAAAACCATCTGGAAGATTGCAAGCCTAAAAGAAATTGCCAAACAAAAAAGAGAACACATGAATGAAGGGGGGAAAATCAAGATGGGCCACAAGGATGAAGTTGACCCTGGCAAATGACATACCTGTGAGTAGAATGTTAACAATGGAATTCTATCCAGATAACTTAGGAATTGAATATTTAACTCACCTCTACATTACTGATCACCATTCATCATGTTGATGACAGCTCCTTCCAGGCCATTCATCATGGTCATGATAGCTCCTTCACAGCTTCACCATTCAAATTTCTCCCCTTTGTGGGGAAGGCGAGTGGTTTGAGGTCTAAACTCCCTTCAACTTATTAGCACGAACTCCATAGTGCACAATATTTAAGCATAATCTCATAACCTCGACCTTACCTTTACCATAAAAGTTAGCTCATGAGATAAAGGATTGAAGACCGCTTATAAGCTGTCCAAGCCTTCCTTTCTTGTTCAATGTGGGACTGGGCTTTACACCCTCCCACCAAGACTGACATTGTCGTCCGACCGCCCAACTCAACCACAACACTGGCTCCGAACGAAGCAAGGCTAGCTCTAAGCCCACTTTGTCACGAACCCGCTTAACTTCAACCCCAGTAGCCAGCTCATGAGGTGAAAGGTTGCGCAACACTTATAAGCTATCCACGCCCTCCCTTTTATCCAATGTGGGACTTGGTTTTACAGTAAGTTGTCTGAAAACAGGGGAACCGGCTTGTATTATCTTGTGTTGATGATGGTAGTGTCTGAGCCAGCTTGCGCGCATCTCGATTATTCCACCGGGTACTTGTTACCTCCCACCAACAGCTTGTATTATCTATACTATATAGCAGATATTACTTTCTATGGAGCTGAGAGATCTATGTGAGAAGCGATCAAAAAGCATCTGGATGAACGCAAGCAAAAAAAAAATGGCAAACAGAAAAGAAAACACATGCGTAGTAGTGAAGAGGTTAAAATCAAGATGGGCCACAATGGAGTTGACCACCCAAATGACATACTGTAATTATAGAATGCTATCAACGGATTTCTATACAGATAACTAAGGAATCAGATCTCTATCTAACTCACCTATACATTAGTGATCACCATTCGTCATATTGATGATAGCTCCTTCCAGGCCGTTTTGCCTTTCATCAGAGCACCATTAGTCACGTCAGTCGCTGCTCCTTGCAGGCCATTCTGCCTTTCATCAGCATTATCGTTGAAACCTTTCTGCAAAAGATGAGGGTTGGTTAGTGTGTTAGAATCAAAGACTAAGCAAGCAGGGAAAAGGACAGGAGGGATATCAAGGTAAATACTCTGTGAATCGCAGAAATTAACCAGTTCCAAGGTTTCAATTGCATAATCATCTCTTTTCACCTATTAATCTTGTTTTCATGGATATCCGCATCTATAATCTTCTTAGCATAGATTGTCTATACTGGAGGTTCTTGCATGTTTTGGCATATGTGCTAGAGAGCTCTATACACGCTGCTTGAACATTCTTGCAAAAAACTTTTTTGGGTTCCAATTTTCAGCATTGATTTGAAATTAAAACACTAACTGCATAAAGACCACAGATATCTTCAACTTATCTGCTCAAAATGACTGACTTCAGTTTTAACCATGCCTCTTCTGTTTAGGCTCTAAACCAAATAGTACCTAGTATCCAATTTTGAAATATACTACATATTTAATACACCTGCGCCTAAAAACTTTTCCACAACTTTGGACCTGGAGTCAAGGAGACAGGTAATGTGTGACAAGGGGAAGAAACAACATTCTTTATCATGCGAGGAAAAGGCAGCTGGCTCTGTTCATTGCTAAATCAAACTTGTACTTCCCAATAAGTACACAATATCTCACCATATAAGCTTAACAGTGGCATCAAATTTAGCAAGTTCTCTATACCGATTGGAGGCAAACAAAAAGTTAAGCAATTAAAGAATGCCTTGCTTAATGCGAATTGTCAGAACTCAGACAAGTTAAATCATTCCTTTGTGTTCCGTAAAGAAGAAGGACAGCCCGGTGCACAAAACATCCCGCATTCCGCGGGGTCAGGGGAAGGCCGCACTCCAAGGGGGTGTGATGTAGGCAGCCTACCCTGATACAAGCATTAGTGGCTGATTCCACGGCTCGAACCCGTGACTTATAGGTCACACGGAGACAACTTCACCGTTGCTCCAAGGATCCCTTCGTGTTCCGTAAAGACGAAACATTTACAAAAAAAAAAATGGCATAGCAGACTTTTGAGAAGGTCCTTCGCATGAAACAACTATAAAGCAGATAACTAAGATAACAAAGAGACTTGATCACAAAGCTATTCTACAAGTGTGATGAATATACCTTCTTATTTAGACCATGAGCAGACATAAGTTCATAGAACTTGCGCATCAGCATTTCTTCCTCGACCTACAAGTAGTCGAACATGCAAAATTGATTCATTAAACTAAAACGCAAATGGCAATAAATTAAAACTAATAAAATTTACTAAAAAGCACATGTCAGAAAGAAAAATAGAAAAAAATGAAGAAAAAAAAAACAGCTAATGAGCAGGGCTTTGCGTGAGGGCAGATATGTTCATAGCATAAAACGTATGCACTACTATTCAACTACAAGTTCATAACATACAATGCACTAATATTTAGCTACAAGCATACATTACACTTTTGTCTTCTTTATCATTTTCATATATCTAATGTGACTAGTAGTTTGAATGTGTTCTTTTCTTTTTATGGCCAGCCCAAAATAATGTCCTCTAATACATATTTGGCCAAATACATATACAGCCCATTCAACTTGACACCATTTTTCATTTTGGCACTCTATCTCTACCTGGTTCCATTTTGGCCCTCCAACTCTATTTTTTATGTTCCACTTTAACATAAAAGCTGAAACCAGTACAAAAAGTATAGCGCGCGTATACACACAAATCTGAGGTGTAATAAATATTCAATTAAATGTTGCCACCTGGTTTTTTCATCCATGTCAAACGGGTCAATACCAAAATACCCGAACCCGACCGTATTTTTTCATCCACTGTTGCCCCATCTTCATTCTCTAAGTTCCAAAACTTTCCTCTGCCGATTTCATAACTGGCCCGTTTAGATGAAATAAACCCACAAAAAATATGGTCGGGTTCAGGTATTTTAGTATTGACCCGTTTTGACATGGATGAAAAAACCAGGTGGCAACATTTAATTAGATATTTATTACACCTCCGATTTGTGTATGCATACGCGCTATATTTTTTGCACTGGTTTCAACTTTTGTGTTATAGTGGAACATAAGAAACAGAGTTGGAGGGGCATGGAACATATAAAATAGAGTTGGAGGGCCAAAATAGAACAAGGTAGAGATAGAGTGCCGAAATGAAAAATGGTGCCAAGTTGAATGGGTTGTATATGTATTTGGCCTACATATTACTATATACACAAAGTAATAACAAGTCTAGTTTTATTGTCAGCGCCACATGTTTTGTCAATATATATTAAGCTCTCAATAAGTGTGTAAACCAAACCAAAATATCGAAGTAGGATAGACGAAATAATATTTTGTCCATCCATTTATACATTTTGATGTAGTGTGGGATATTTAGCTTGATCTAAATATCTTAGCAAGTTTACTTGGAAGTACTTAATAGATTCTCACCTCAGGACTTTGGTCCAATGGTAAGAGCATAATACGTGATGTTTGATGTTTTGGTTAGGCGTATGTCACGGGCTACCGACAAAACAAAGACAGATTCAGATTTAAGCTCTACGGATTCAACCTTTTAAGTTTCTTAGCCTTGCACCCATTTATTTTTAAAACTATGGGTTCTTATCAGCTATTTATTACAATTTTAGTGAATTTTTTCACATAACTGTATGCTCCGCACCGCTAGCAACGAACCCGATACTTATAAGCCGCATCCGCCCCTGGACAAAAACCTAGTTTTTTTAGCGGAGGAGGATAGAGGGACGGACCCATTATCCATCACATTTCAAATCGTGCACCATTGGCCCACGGGGATTTGTCGGTTATCAAAAAAAGAGAAGAAAAAAACTTAAAGAGATTCTCTTATCTTGCAAGTTAAAAGCTAGAACTTGTATATTTGTTTTTCCTATCTATATATGACTACTGTTCAAGTAGAAAGGTTTTTTTTTTGTTGGTAATTTGGTAAAAGAAGAGTAAAAGGTTAAAGTGAATACCTGAAGTCTGTGCAATTCATCTGACATTGATTTATGGGCATTCAAGAGTAGTTCACTTTCTTTCTCCAGATGCCTGCACCAAAAACATTATTCAGAGACCAAATTAAACACCTACATTCAAAACCAAGAAAAGAAAACATTTTTCACACAAGCAGAAACATTATGTGGAAAGAGGAAAGCAACTCAAAAACAGAAATTACTTCAAGGTTTCTCCTGCGTATTTGGGATCCATAAAAAAAAGTTTGATCTTTCGCCACAAACCCTTAGTGGCTCGTAGGAATTCGCTCAAAATCAGGCAATCCCGCGAAATTCTAACAGTGAAAAGAATGATAGTTTTGGGGGAAAAAAAGAAGAGAAGAAAGGAATTCCCAAACAAGGGTTTCGTTTGGATCAAAATGGGCCGTCCTAAAAACTAGACTGATATATAGTGGCCCAATACAGAAAATAAGGCCCCACGTGTTTCACAATTACCTTAGAGAAAATGGCGGGGAAGTGCACGGTTAGCCACTAATAACACATGTATTTACTTTTAAGCCAATGTTTAAAATGTCTTTAGTCTTTAGCCACTGCTTTAATAAACTTTAACTGCCCGGACGAAAATACCCTTCTGCTCATGTCCTTAACTTTTGAACTTAATTTCAGGACTTCAGGACTACATGTCCGTAACTTTTGAACTTGGAACTTAAGTTTAGGACTACATGTCCTTAACTTTTGAACTTAACTTCAGGACTTCAAGATTACATGTCCTTAACTTTTGAACTTAACTTCAGGACTTCAGGACTACATGTCCTTAACTTTTGAACTTGTAACTGTAAGTTCAGGACCAAGTGTCCTTAACTTTTGAGCTTGTTAGTCTAAGTTCAGGACCTATTATCCTTAACTTTTGGGCTTCTTAGCTTAAGTTCAGGACCTATTGTCCTTAACTTTTGAGCTTGTTAGTCTAAGTTCAGGACTTCAGGACCTATTGTCCTTAACTTTCGAGCTTGTTAGTCTAAGTTCAGGACTTATTGTCCTTAACTTTTGGGCTTCTTAGCCTAAGTTGAGGACCTATTGTCCTTAACTTTTGAACTTGTAACTGTAAGTTCATGACCTATTGTCCTTAACTTTTGAGCTTGTTAGTCTAAGTTCAGTACTTTAGGACCTACTGTCCTTAACTTTTGAGCTTGTTAGTCTAAGTTCAGGACCTATAGTCCTTAACTTTGGACCTTCTTAGCCTAAGTTCAGGACCTATTNNNNAGTGAGTAATAAGCATATAAAATGTCTGAAGATAAGAAATCCACGAAATGCCACAAAGTAAAGCTAAAACTAACAGTCCAACACCTAACTACGAACCAACAGCAAAACAACTTCAAATATATCAGTCAAGTATAATGTAAGGATGCAATGCAATGCACATGACCGCTACGGCGCGTAGCCCGATCCATTTAACGTCGACGGCGCTCACTGGGGGTGTGTACAGACTCCGGAGGGGCTCCTTCAGCCCAAGCGCAATATAATCATACCATTCGCTGCGGCGTGCAGCCCGATCCATACTCAGTCCACAATATGCATATGAGTCACGTAACAGATTCAATTAATTTCCCAATTTCCAATTTATTAAGAGGAATATACTTTAGATATTTAACTTCAGGAAAAGTGACTTAGCATTTCATAACGTGATTAAACACAGGACTGAGATCAATGATTATACAAAGCATGCTATCACAATGACATTCATCCTCTAAGGATGCTACAGATCGGCACAAGGCCCCAAACACGGCAATAAGCCCAGATATATTCAATACAGGGTGCGTATCAGTCGCCAATATAGAAATATTCTTGTTCGGGATGGACCAAGTCACAATCCCCAGTCATAACCAATCCCGCACCTGCCATGGGGTGCGAGTCACGCCCTACAATAGCGTCACAATGTGATAAGCCGGGGTTTCAAACCCTCAGGCCATCATATACACCAACTACTCACCTCTAACCGGCCGTAGACTGGTCCGCAATGCCTTTTCCCTTTGTATCGACCTCCTAGCGCGTCGAATCTAGTCAAAATCACAGCGAATACATAAATATGGGTTAAAGAAACATAACCCAATCAAAAATACTCGAAAAGTACTAAAATTCACAAAGTTGGTAAAACCCGAGCCCCGGGCCCACTTCTCTAAAAATTCCGAAAATCACATAAACAGATTTCTCGTCTCGCCACGAGTCCGTGCATATAAAGTTTACCAAAATCGGAGCTCGTTTGACCCTCCAAATTCTATTTTTACATCACAGCTTTCCAAGGGGAGAAATTCAAAAATAGCCAGATTTACCACTGGTCGTTGAAAAATAGCCAAGTTTCAAAAGTCATCGAAATTTAGCCACTTTAATTCTGAGCGAAAACACTGTTCAAAATCCGGAAAAATACGCCCGCAAATTTTACGGGAGTTCCAGCATAAGTATGCTTGAACTCCCGTAAATTTTACGGGAGTTCCAGGATAACTATGCTGGAACTCCCGCAAATTTTANAAAATAATAAATATAATTGTGGGAGTAAATAAATTTTTGATATACAAAGATGGAAAATAATTTTTTGATACACACAAAGAAGGAAAATAAATTTATGATATATATATTTGGTATTCACATTATTTTTTATGTTATACAATGTGATATACAAATAATATAATTTTTTTTATTATGATATACATTAGTATAAAGATAACATTAAATTTTGAATAACTATATTTATAAATTCATAAATTTTAATAAAATTGTGAATACATTTCGCAAATAATCACCAATACGTATTTTGGCTGTTATATATCAGTGTGTATATCCAGGGGCGGATCTAGAGCATAGAATACAGGTTCCCAGGAACGCAGTAACTTTTGCGTAGACCCTGTATTTATATTAAGAAATTCACTAAATATTTATAAATATCTAACTGTGAACCCAGTTATTATTGCATATTAATCTAAAATTACGGTAGGAACCCATAAGCCTCAAATCCTGGATCCGCCTCTGTGTATATCACAAAAGATTTTTATTGATATACATAGACATATGTATCACATTGCATGTCAGCGTATATCACACAATATTTTCATTGATATACATAGACATGTATGTAAATATGCATGATATACATGAAATAAACAGATATACAAACTGATATATATTGATATATCAGTTGATATACACAGTGATCTGTATTCACCCAAATTCGGTAGTTCAAAAAACTTAGAAATGTGTATATTCATCCAAATTCATTCCTCTTTCGATTCAAAACAGAATATTTCTTTTCTAGACAATTTTTTTGTGCAAATTTGTAGAAATTTCTGGTGTCAAGAGAGAGAACGAGGAGATATATATATATATGTATGTATGTATATATATATATATATATATATATATATATATATATATATATATATATATATATAGAGAGAGAGAGAGAGAGAGTAAGAGAGTAATTTACGGGGAGAAGGTCTAACCTAGTTTATTATACAAAATAAATTTTTTAAATTAAAACACAAATGCAGGCCATAAGATGCCAATAACAATAAGTTGGGCTTTTTTATGCCATTTATTAGTTGAGAATTTTTCATAAAGCACTATCTTTTAGTAGTAATTAGCCATCTATAGATACCATTTGCTATATTACGGATTATCGATACCTTTTATGTGGTTATAAGATGTAATTGATGTATTTAAGCTATTGTATTCATGAATACAGTAGCAAAAATAGGCATGAATCAGGGAAGTCCAGCTAATCAGTTGTTGTATAATTGTATTCGAGTGTATTCGACTGTATTCATGGAGTAAAATATGGGATCAGCTGGACAGATTATTGTATTCGACTGTATTCACGGCGTGAAATAGGGGATTACATTGTTTTTAAAACGGAAAGTGAATCAATTAACATAATAGACTCCTAATATAACTCAACAAACTCAATTATAACACACATAATTTGTATTTTCAGTTATATAAAAGATTCTCAACCAAAAAATACCCCCAAAACATAGCAATCTTCAGAGAAATTATATAATACATCAGAATACATAAATTATATTAATTAAAAAAAACTTATGAATACATTCATGGCATAGCGAGACAGTGAATATGATGAAATACATAGAATACAACGGGATACATTGAAATACAATGAAAAAAAAGACAGAGAATACAATAGAATACATGGAATACAATGAGATACATTGAATTACAATAGGAAAAAAAGTCAATAAATACAATGAAAATCATGAAAAATACAGCGTAATACGTTGAAATTACTTTGAAATATATTAAAAGAAATGTTCTTCTTCATCGCGAAAGAAAGAAATCATCACTCAGTGGATCTCCGAAATCGAATCCTCTTTCCACGACCGCCACCATCTCCTCGTTGGACTTGACGTCGAGTGGCGGCCCAGTTTCCACCGCAACCAGCAATTCAAAGTTGCAACTCTCCAGCTCTGCGTCGAGCGACGTTGCCTCATATTCCAACTCCTCTACTGCAGTTCAATTCCAGAAGAAGACAAAGCAAAAAGAAAGAAAAAAAGGGAGGATCATCACGCTGGTGTAAAGGGAGGGGAAATTGGGAAGGGATAGAAAGAAAACTCCTCTACTACAGTTGTCACGACCCCAAACCCGGTCGTGATGGCGCCCAACACTAATGCTAGGCAAGCCCGACCATTTACTCTCTCAACCCGAGCACAAAGCTCAAAACCAATTAATCAGATACTTAAAATCAAACATTAATCCTCATAGTTGAAATACTCAATTAAAACAATACGAAATACTGACATAAACTGTAACTCCCAAAGACCTGGGGTCATGAGTCTAGAGCCTCTAACTAATACAGAGTCAAGAATCCTCAAAATAAGTATGTTCTAAAGTACGGAAATAATAAAGGGATAAGGGAGGAGTCGGGTCCTGCGGACGTCATAGCAGCTACCTCGACCACTCCTGGAACTCTGGAAACCAGCGGCTAGCTCAACTAAGCTCCCGAAGTACCTGAATCTGCACACAAGGTGCAGGGAGTAAGGGGTGAGTACTACCAACTCAGTGAGTAATAAGCATATAAAATGTCTGAAGATAAGAAATCCACGAAATGCCACAAAGTAAAGCTAAAACTAACAGTCCAACACCTAACTACGAACCAACAGCAAAACAACTTCAAATATATCAGTCAAGTATAATGTAAGGATGCAATGCAATGCACATGACCGCTACAGCGCGTAGCCCGATCCATTGAACGTCGATGGCGCTCACTAGGGGTGTGTACAGACTCCGGAGGGGCTCCTTCAGCCCAAGCGCAATATAATCATACCATTCGCTGCGGCGTGCAGCCCGATCCATACTCAGTCCACAATATGCATATGAGTCACGTAACAGATTCAATTAATTTCC